TCGTAGAATATTAAAAAATTTTAATATGAATATATTAAAACGCATAACATTTTGCTGGTCAAAAAAAAAAAAAACGCATAACATTTCAGGAGACAGTACGTAAAAGACAAGAGCATGTGAAAGCCTATCCTCCCTTTTGTTCAAAACAGCCTTTTCTGTATCCGGCAATAATGCAGTCCTAGACAATATATTTGAGGTCAAAGTTATAGCTTGGTCTGAGTACTCTTAAAATCCCTCTTCCTTTTTTTTCTTTTCAAAATCTCATATTTATTATTAGATCAAATAATATATAGTTCAAATTTAATATTTTAAAAAGAAGATATCCATCTTCTCTCTCCTATTTATTTAATATTATAATAATAGTTTTATAAAGTATAAAATATAAACTATTCATTATTTGATCCAACGGTAAAAATAGAATTTTGATAAGAAAATGAGAAAGAAAGATTATGAGAATATTCCCTCCCGTTATGGCACAAGAAAGCACGCCAATTTTATTGAAGTGAAATGATCTTAATTTTGTATATTTGACAACTAATTGAATTATAAATAGGCCTCCCCTTCTCCGGCTTCTCTGGTTCTGTTCCTGATGGCTTTCTCCGCAGCTGTTCCTGAATTACATGTTTAACATCGCAAGACGTTGCCACGGATCAGCTTGCAAGTCCCATACTCTCCTTGACGATGTTCTGCTATCCTCCTTGCTCCTCTTCTGCTCAAGGCTTTATAATACATACACACACACTTTTATATGACCCAATTCCTACTTTTATTAGTGGGCTTTGCTTCTCTTTATGTCCGTCAATGTGAACCTTTCCTAATACTACCTCCGGTCCTAATTATAAGACCCAGTTGACTTATTTGAGGAGATTAAGGAAGTAAGTTAAGTTAGTTATTTGTAATAAATAAGTGTTGTCATTCCTAAAATATCCTTGCTAATTAAGTATATTGGCTAGAACTATCATTATTAGAAGGATTATCTTGGAAAAAAATGCATAAATATGGGAGAGAAAATGGATTGGGGTCTTATAATTAGGACCAAACAAAAAGTCAAACGGGGTCTTATAATAAGGACCGGAGGTAGTATTAGATATGCTATATATCTTCCCTATAAGATGAAGCTTTCTATTTCATGAACATTTTAATTAAGATTGATGTTAATTAATAACTACGTTCGTATTTTTATTAATGATGCGACATTTATGCGACGCACTTCAGTGTGTTTGCGTTGAATGAATCGCAGTAAAAATGAGATGACAAGGAAAGGAATGATCAAACATACTACCTCTGATCCTTAATATGAGATCTTGTTTGACTTTTATTTTGGTCCTAAATATAAGATCCCAATCCACTTTGTTTTTAGTATTTATGTATTTTTTTCTAAAATAGTCCTTCTAATAATGGTAGTTCTAACTAATACACTTGATTAGTAAGGATATTTTAGGAAAGATAACACTTATCTATTGTAAATAACTAATTTAACTTATTTCTTTAATCTCCTCAAATTAGCTAATTAGCTTTTATAATTAGAACTGGAGGTGGTAGCAAGTTGTTAATTATAACAACGACAAGTCAAAATGAGAGGGGTTGGGGGTTGGTTAATAAAGTATATATAAAATAAGTTAAGTGTCCAAAAAATTGTTTGATCTGATTCATATGTGTGTGTGTGCGCGCGTGTGTATATACATAGCAGTCTAAAAGATATTAAAATGTAAACAATTAAGGATTATTATATAAGGGATGATTAAGTGCAATGATGGGGCCAACGTTAGGTGAACAACGAGGCCTAGCATTATCAAGTACAAATTATTGTCTTTAAGAAAAAACTGTTTATAGAAATACTCATATTCTTCCAATTTTATTTATAAAAAACTTACAACATGTTGCATGGGAATAAAAAATTATTTATAAATCTCATTGACTTTTTTTAACAGTTAATAATTTTTTTAACTTCACCATATATTTAATATAAAAGAATGAGTGAGGACTGATAAATTAAAGAATAACAAATTAATGGTCAAATTATAAATTTATATGATAAATCTAATAAAGTGACTAATATTAAGAAAAAGAATACCTACTCTTATAAAAAGAATGACAAGAATACATATTATTCTATACATGTATAAAAAAATACTACTCCAATTCTTAATATATGACCTAATTATTGAGTTAATTTTGATCTTAAATATCAATTTTTTCTAAATTACCCCATGGATACTCCTTCAGCTATAATTAAGTAGAAGAGGGAGAGAAGATATTAAGGAAGATGATTATGGTGTTTTAGAAAAAACATGTCATATTTCTTACAATTAACTAATTTACTTAACTTTCTTAATCTAATTAAATTAGTTAACTAGATTTTATATTAAGAATCGAGAGTACTATTTCTGATTCTAAATATAAGATTTAGTTTGTAGTGTAATTTACATTGCTAATATTTGGCGTGGATCGTACGTTATATTAAACATGCCTCAAATGTTGCTATAAATGACCCTCGAGGCTACATGCTGACCCGTCCACAAGAAGATGGGTTTGAACAGGAAAGCGGCGATGGTGAAAGTGGGCGTGGTGCTGTTATTGACGGCGTTGATGGCCACCGTGGAGGGGGGCTTCGATGTGAGCAGATTGCTGGAGGAGGCGGAGGTGCTGATGAACGACCTGGGACAAAAGTTGATCACTAAGCCGACCACTGGCATCTGCTGCGACAACTGCGTCTGCACAAAGACGATCCCTCCGATATGCCAATGCAGAGACATGGCAGAAACTTGCAACTCTTCTGCTTGCAATTAATCTCTGTGCCTGCGCTCAGAGTTATCCTGAACAGTGCCATTGCCTTGACCTCACCAGCTTCTGCTACCGTAAATGCTCCTCTCACTCATCACAACAATAACGTTGTCATCTTCACGGAACCAAAACTTTTAACTGCGAACTTCTTCGTTCAGGGCCTTGTTTACGCGATTTCAGTGTGATTGTAAACCCTATCTTGTTCATTGAATAATACAATCTCTCTCCGCTCATGATATAAGAAATTGGTCAAAAAAAATTGTGGTAAATGTTGTTAGAATACTCAATGTGATTTTTTTTTTTACCTTTGCCCTTATTAGATATTAGAGAAATGAAAGCTATCGAAAGTGTAATATTAAAAACAACTTAATTATTTTTTAAAATAAAATAGGAAAATTCTATTATTTTATGACATATTTAAGAACTACATTTTTTTTTTTTTTTAGTGCATGAGAAAGGCGGACTAACTTGAGGGCAAGTTTCTCGTGCCTCGTTGTTAATAAAGTTCTCGATCGGCGTGTTGACTTGAGGAGAGGAGGAGTGGATGGGGATCCACTGGTGCGCCAGCATGTGAAATTACGGGAAACACGGCTTTAGGACTTAGGTCCTAATGGGCCAAGCCATGTGGCTTTTGCTCGGCTCAGGCGAGCCCATTTCCCAACTCTATGTTCAATAAAATAAATAACATTAGAATATTGTATAAAAAAATAACAAGAATATATATATATATATATATATATATAAAGTTAAAGGCAATTTTTGACTAAGATTACGGTCTTTTAAATTATTTTTTGGGCCAGTATAATTAATCTTCTCAAATTAAGTTGCCTTGCGAATGAATCTTCTCTTACACGACAAACATTTTATAATTAAGAACTGCATCTTAATTTTCACCCGAAAAAAAATCACATCTTATTATCTTAACAATAAAGATATCCCGTAAATTGCCCTATAATTATCCCTTTCCTGATCAAACATTTGATTCTGTCTTTGGATTCCATTTACTCTCCTAATTCCTAAGCTTAATGTTAAGATCAGTTTTGATTAACATCCTTAAAAAATTAATATATTATTTCTAAATGTCACAATGATATTTAGTAACAGTACTGTTATTAAAAAAACTTTTTAGTAATAACAGTGAGGATTTTGGCTAAAATTAATCACAATTCCATAAATTTTTCACCTTTATTTAGTATCGTGCAAAAAAAGGATCACCAACAAAAAATTAATTGATAATATGAAGAGGGAAAAAAACAAAAGATTCTCGCAAACCCAATAAAACACAATTATAGTATTCCCCACCGAGCACCTTGTTATGATGTTGCCGGATACTCTTTACGATGGAGGACAAAAATACTGATGATTTTATAATTTTATGAATTATTGATGACGCATTGATCTTAAATCTACAGGACACTTATTTTATCTTAATAATAATAAGCTTCATAGAGTTGCTTAATTAATTCAAATAGATTGAAAAATCAAATAAATTATTCAATTATTGCATATGTACTGTGATTTTCTTAAAATATTTCTGTATAATTTTTTTTTGCCAACTATATGCATGTATAATGTTAAATACTATTCCTCCGGTCCTAAATATAAGACCTTTTTTATAGTATAAATTATAATACGAAAAGGGTCTTATATTTAGGACAAGAGAAGTATTAATTTATAAGCTAGTTAAATTAAATTTTTAAATAAAATAAATATAAAAGATAACAAACAGAACATTTATGAAACAATACTCCAGATGGCATAGAGTAAAAACACCTTAAAAAAAAATTTTTTTACACAAATTAAAATAAAATTCTTCTAATATGCTTATCTTAAACTTCGTAAAATCACTCTTCGAGAAATCATTTACACCATGGGAAAGCTGATGTTCTGTTCTGTTCAAAACAACCTTTTCTGCATTCATCGGACTGAGCAATAAGGCAGTCTTAAACAAAATTTGAGGTGATCGCGTGATAGCACTAGAATGCACGCGAAACTTTTAAATAACAGAGTATTATTCATAATTTAGGAATCGCATGATATTAGGAATGATTATCCTGTTTTTCGCCTTCAATATTGTAGTAATTTACATATACAGTTGTGAATCACGCAGAATTATAATATCCCTTAAATTGACTTATAAATAGGCCTTCCCGTCTGCTCATATCTTCACACATCAAAACTCAAGACGCACAAAGAGAAAGAGAGGAAGAGAAGATATGGGTTTGGGCAAGAAGGCGATGATGATGAAGGTGGGTGTGGTTCTGTTTCTGATGGCCTTCACTACTGCACCTGTGGAGGCTCGCTTCGATGCCAACACCTTCCTGGCTGAGATGTTTAAGGACAACGGCGAACCCAATTACTTGATCAAGTCCACCACCACGGCCTGCTGCAACAACTGTCGCTGCACAAAGTCGAACCCACCTCAGTGCCAATGCAACGACATCGGAGAAACCTGCCACTCTGCCTGCAAGTCCTGCGTCTGCGCTCTCAGTTATCCTCCACAGTGTCGCTGCCTTGACATCACCACCTTCTGCTATCCTCCTTGCTCATCCTCTTCTGCTTAGTTCTGTAATATACAAATAATGTTATGTGAGCCAATTCCTACTTTTATTAGTAGGCTTGGCTCCTATCTATGTATGCGAATGTGAACCTTCCCTACTAATAAAATAAGCTATCTTGTGCCTTGCTTGCTTCCCGCAAGCTGCAGGTTACTGTTAAGGACTTGATATTCTTCCATTACTTCGAATGGAGAGTAATATCCGAAGACCCAGTATTTAAGGGACTTCAACTTTCAAAACACCTTCAAGTCATTTCTAAGCATCCTCCTTTCTGGTGTTTACCTAGGACTGGTGCTTAGGAAAGATTATTTGGGTATAAGCTAAACACTTTAGTTTTCCTTTTTCTTCGGATTTCACCATTCGTGTGTCACTAAAAGAAAGAAACAAGTAAAGAACAAATTAAAAGTAAGACAAATGCGCGGGACATGGAGAGAAGATGAAGTTTTCTGTTTCATATGAAGATGTTAATTAATTAAGATTGAGGTTAATCAACTGCGGTCGTATTTTTATTCATGACGTGCGATCCTTACAAACTAATTTGTTCAGGTGAGACGCACCTCAGTGGGTTTGCGTCGGATGGATCTTATTATAAGAAATAAGATGACAAGGAATGGAATGATCAATCTAAAGCTATTAATTGGCAGATTTTTGAGATTTATATTCTGATTCCATTTTCTTCCCTCAAACTCCTAAACACAACCATTTTTCCTGTTAAGAAAACGCCACTCAAACGAAAGAAATACTATGGGCCTGTTAGTTAATAATTATATAAAATAGGTCTTACATTTAAAATCAACATAAATTCTCTGGATAATTTGGGAATTTAGTATTTAGTATTTAGTATTTAATTTTTCTTTTCTTTAATTCATCATTTTCGTCTTCTTCGTTGTGCATGCCAAACATGCACGAAGACTCATCCGTAAGTATTCTAGTAAAATTCCATTTTAAAATGTTAAGTTAAAATAAACATGCATGATAGTTATCTCAACCACGCGCAAATTAAAATGAGCTATCGTGAATTTTCTTCCAAATTGGCTCATCAAAAATCCAAAATTTCTACCCTTCGTTTTTGTTTTCCATACAATCAAATTTTCTCATAAGTGTTTTTTTAAAATATTTTTTCACAAATCGAGATAAATTCTTCCATTCGCATATCATAAAATCACTTTTAAAATTATGGTTTGGTTTCTATCCAAATACCTTTTAAAATCATGTTATAAATACTCTTACTTCCTTATTGCACATTTGAGTTATGAATGGAATAATTTTTTGTCGTAAACTTTCAACGCCCTTTCACCGGTTTATATAACTAGTTAGTCTATTAGTCCTTGTAATTCACTCGTCCAAACCCATAGTTACCGACAAATTTGAAAGAAATTTTATCAAACTGTTATAAGATTAACAATACCACATGAACATGATAGTACATTGTCCAGCAAATTTCTGTCGACCGGCCTGATCTGTTCAGGGTCCTTTGGATTCCTACTTTCCCCTGTTTGCCCAGACAAAATAATTAATTAATGCAGTACATTATTTTAAAATGATCGTCGTCCTCCCAATTTTTTTACTTTTTGACCAAGTCCGGTTCTCCCAATTATTCCTTGGTTCTGGGGCATAAGGAAGGTATTTTTTAATCTTATTTATGAGATATTGAGAGAAATTTTTTATATGAATATATAATTTTACTGTTCATTTATTTAAATAAGGTATAATATATATTAAATAAAAATAAAGTTAGAAAGTTGTTAAATTTTAAATGAGAGTTAATAAAGTTTAAGATTTTCTTTGGGGCATGTGAAACATATTAGAAGTGACTAATAAGTAAGACCACAGGAGCAACTAATTTAAATAAATTAAAGATTTTAGTTAAATTATTTAATATGATATTTTTTTAAAAAGATCCTAAATATTTTTTTAATTTTTTCTTCCCTCTTCTTCTTGATTATTGTTAGAAAAATATCAATAAAATTAATTTAAAAATTGATAAACATATAAAACAAATCTTATATATGGAACTAATATAAATTTCTAATTAGTCCTCACCGGAGACGAATCAATTTATTGATGCTCACCGGACGGAAAAAATAATGGAGCTCACCAAACACTATTTTAAGAAAAGCACTGTGGCCGCTCTCACGCCAGCTTGTAAGCCTATCCAAATAATGGTACGAAGATTCTCCACGGCAGAGGAGATTTCAATTTGAGTATATCCAAAAAGAAAGCATTGTACTCCTCCGGTCCTTAATATAGGACCCAATTCTTAAGTTAGTTTTGGTCCTAAATATAAGACCCATTCATCATATTTATCAATTTTCTCTAAATTACCCCTATGGATACTCTTTCAACCATAATTAAGTATAAGAGAGAGGAGGGATATTAAGAAAGATGACTATGGTATTTTAGGAAAAATGTGTCACTTTTCTTATAATTAACTAACTTACCTAACTTTCTTAATCTAATCAAATTAGTTAAATGGGTCTTATATTAAGGACCGGAGGAGTATAATGTATATATAGTATGTGCACATGTGTATATATACACACACACATGCATTTATGTATCAATAATTGGACAGAGCATGTCATTTTTTCCTCGGTGACATTGGACACAGTATACCTGTGCTTGAAAGACATGACAGATCATAAAACCGTCATCTTTGTATAATTACATGTTAATGCAATCAATAATTTAAGGTCATATATATCCAAACCCATCATTTAACAACAAATCAGATAAACGCACACCTAATTAATGAGATCATATTAACAACTCCAGATTATAAATAACATTAAACTAACAATCTTTTAAATATATTTAAAAAAAATCATTAGTACCTAACAAGCACGTTGTTATAATGTGTAAAGCTGAAGATTCTCTGCGACAGAAGACGCTCATTTTATAATGTTACACGAGTAGAATAATATTGATGACACGTTGATCTTAAAAATCTACAGAGCAATTGATTTAATATTGATAATAATATAATATGCATATAATATGGGATAATGACAAAGTACGGTGAAGACTGGAGGGATTAAATAAGATGGCACGTGAAACATTCAGGAAATAGTACGTAAAAGACTTGAGACATCATTTAAAGGCCTGTGAAAGCTGATTCTCTCTTCTGTTTAAAACAGCCTTTTTCAGTATTCACCGGATTGAGCAATAATGCACTCTTGAACGAAATCTGAGGTCACTTGATGGCACCTGAATTCACACCAAACTTTTAAATTACACTAACTCTGAGTTTTCTTTCCTATTTTTTTGATAAAAAGATAAAATGTATTAATTTAATCAAAATTAAAAGTTTACATAACAAAAGTGAAAATGAAAGAGAGAAGTGATAAAAGAATGGGAAAAAACTAAAAAGTCTGCTCAAGAAAAATTGTTTAACAAAAGAATAATTTCTTCCGATGCTATTGATGCATGTGATAACCGTGCATAACTAAAGGAGAGAAACTCAAACCGTAACTATTAGATTAACTAACTGGATTGTTCTAACTTAACTATAAATCTTGAGTTTGAAGCATTTTAAAGTCCAGGGACGCTAACCTTAATAGTTCATGTCATATTTCGATCCGAATTAGTCTGAGCCTAATGCTATGCTTGAAAAATGGCCTGACTTATGATACCGGCTGCTTACGCCAAAAAAAAAAAAGGAGAGAAACTTGGCCTAACTTTGAGTTAAACAAAGGGTTGATTTTGATAAAATATATAAAAACTTAATTTATTTTGTTTCTCATATTTTTAATTTTTTTAAAGTATCTCTATTGATCGCATATAACAAGGGAGTTATCATTAAATGACAGTTACATTGCACATAATTGAAAATGGTATTTTTCAAAAACTAATTCATATTTATTATAAATAACTAATTTAATTAATTTTTTAGTATTTATAAATTAATTATTTAACTCTTATATTGAACATCAGAGATAATATTAGTTGTCATTTAGAAGAAAATCTCCTGTCACAATATTTATCATACAAAAAATTAAAGAATTCGGTCCTTAATTAAGCAGGTGTAATTCTTCTTTATCAACTAATTATGTGTGACTTATCTTTAGCTAGATGGAATCACAACTGAAAAAAAATAAATTGCATATAATTAAAGAAGATTTGTATCCATTAGTTGAACATATATTGCATCCGAGTTTTTAAATAAATTTACCTTCAATTTATACAATAAATTTTGCAATGAGGAACTTTTCCAACGATTTTTTTTCATTTAGGAATATTATGCTATTAACAGAAAATTAAATTTTCGAGTGAAGGCGATATTTTTATAATAAATTTAGTTTTTTTAGTTTATAGTGAAGTAATAAAAATAATAATTACTTAAAATTATTTCTTTTATCACCCAACCTTACGTAGAATAAAATATAATAAAAGAAAAAGTTTTAAAACCTGTTGGGTCCAAACTCCAACCACTCTTCGAGAGATTTCCTTTTACAGAAATTTCTTCGTCGAGTGTCAGCTTAACTCATAATTAAGGAAAATGAGGAGCGTCAATTGAAAAAAAATGAAGGAATGAAGGGAATTAATTAAAGAAAGAAAGAATATGAGGAGCATCTTGTAATATATGCATAAACTTTTTTAATCCTGCTCAATTACTCCATTATTGACACGAGTTCTGTTTTTTTTTTTTTTTTTGCCTGAAAGTTGTTTTTAATTAACTATCTCTTACATGTTAATAAATTAATATAAGACTGGTGAAGATTAAAGGGATTAAATAAGATGGCACGTGAAGCATTCAGGAAAGAGTACGTAAAAGATTTGAGACATCATTTGAAGGCCTGTGAAAGCTGATTCTCTCTTCTGTTTAAAACTGCCTTTTTCAGTATCCACTAGATTGACTAATAGGGCACCCTTAAACAAAATTTGAGGTCGCGTGATAGCACACCTGAATGCACACCAAACTTCTTTTTTTGTTTTCCGAATGGGACACACCAAACTTTTAAATTAGACTGAGTTTTCTTCCCCCCCCCCCCGGATAAAAAGATAAA